CGAGTTAGAAGATCTTGAGTATGTTAATAAATTATCTTATACATATTAATAAACGATTTTTTATTTTACCAATTCTAATTTTCTAAAATATTAATCAAGGGGTGATCGATTACCATGTCGTTTACCGAGATCATACGCGAACGATTTCTTTAATGCTTGGAGACATTCGGTTGACAATATCATTATATGTGTAATGAGGTTTGCTAGACTCGAGATTAACCAAGGTTGTTTCTACCTCTAAATCTTTACTTATGATACCTTTAACATATTGTATAACAACATTGGGATCTAAGCTGTGTACGTAACTAAATAACTAATGTAGAGACGTGGAGAGTTTCGACGGTGCATAATTGTACGAGCGTAATGATAAATCCATTATGTCCGCATGTGACACAGATGAGAGATGCCTTTGCTGATATAGAAGATGAAGAATTTTAAGTTTGATGGAGTTTATTTGAGACTTTTACGTTTTTTTTTCCCTTTTGATATCCTTCATAGAGGCTGAATTATTAATGTTTTCTAGGTTTTTCTTAAGATTATATATATTTAATTTAATTAAAAAGCTTGATAAAATAATATTCAGCGTATGGTTAACTAAAATAACGTTTTTGTTATTAAGCTGTGCGAAATTAAAGTCTCTAATATTTTTATTATTAGTCAAAAAATATTATATTATGAAATCGTCCTTAAATCTTTTTAATCATGATCCCTTATCATATTTCAAAATAAATTTACCCATTTGTTTCCCGTATTGTTAAAATTCCAAGAAAAGACATTATTAAGAAAAAATATATTTGTTACATATTTTAGAATGTCTATTTAAGGTAAACATCAAATTTACCTCTTTTTAAAATGGCTCATAATAGACCAAAAAAAAAAAAAGAGGAATTATTCGCTTATGAAAAATGGAGATTAACATTTATAATATATAAAGGATATAATATTTAAATTTGAATAAAAGATAAATGTTAAATTTCTAATTCCAATATAATGAAATTAGGATCTTTACGTACTTATCATGTCCTAGAATTTATTCATAATTAAATCTAAGGAAATAATTCATTATTATCATAACTGATTGAATATTATCGTATATACGATTATTTAACTATAAATACGCATACAAATGTTCCTAAAGTTTACAACTACTTTTCTATCATGACCTCTAAAAAAAACAAAATTTCTCCTTTTGTTCTTGCTAGCGAAATAAATCCTGCTAATGATCAATACAAGATCAAAGTGCGTGTTATGCGGATTTGGAAATCGTTCAAGACTCTAGAGATGGTTCTAATTGATACAGAGGTACGTTAGCTTCACATCTATTTTAATTCTAATATTTGAATAAGTTACATCATACGTATGTGATAAAATATAAGATATATTGTATATGTATGGAACTTTTTGACTAATGTTCTCTTCTGTATCAAAGGGAACAAGGATCCATGCATCTATTGAGGAGTCTTTGGTAAAAACATTCCAGCACAAGTTTGCTGTTGGTGATGCGAAAATAATAGACACATTCGGTTTAGTTGATTATGATGGTGATTACATAACAAGTTCTTTAGGTTTTAAGATGTTGTTTTACAGAACTACTACGGTTAAGCCGTTTGATGATTTCCCAGCTCAAATTTCTGAAAATTATTTTCGTGAATTTTCTGATATCTTGGCCGGAAAAACAGACAAACATTTATTGATCGGTGAGTTGTAAGATTGGTAATGTATTGTTTTTTAAGTAAATTATTTTCTAAATCGTATTAATGTTTTGTTGTTTATGTAGATGTAATTGGCCAGATTGTTAACGTCGACTCTCTTGAGAACATCAAAACTAAAGGGAAGGACAATGTGAAATTAAGTTTCGAATTGCAAGATCTAACGTACGGTCTTTGTTTGTTTAATAGTTTAACTTTTAATATATTATAATATATCATAACAAAAAAACTTACTATCCATTTATTAAATAGGGGTACAAAGTTAAATTGCACGCTTTGGGGTGATGTTGCTAGGAATTTTGAGGGTTCAATAAAAGAACACGATGAATCTGTCGTCGTTTGCGTTATTAGGTTTTCATGCATTAAGGAGTGGAGAGGTAACTGTTCATTGTATATAATATATTGCTTTCAGGTTTTATTACGGTTATGTATTACATGATTTCCAAAATTGAGGGGTTTACAGCATATCCAACTCTTTCGGTTCAACGGATGTTTTGTTCAATCCAAATATTCTAGAAGTTGAGAAGTTTACTAAAATGTAAGTACTTTTGTATAAATTAATTACGTATGATTGTTACACGTGTTGTAGGTATACATACATGTCCTTATTAATGCGTTTTGATTTTTCAAAGGTTGCCATCAGACGTCGTCGACTTTGTCCAGATTAATGCTGAACCCAAAAATGAACAGCCAAAAGTTACACTATATGAAGAGTTCTTCGTACTCAATGAAAAGATGACAATAGACGACATTCTTTATGCACTAGAGGTATTTTTAAAATTACATGCTATAGAAAAAATAATGTATTTAATGATTATACGTTTTCTTATATTCAGGTGCATACATGTGTTACGATCGCAAAAATTATCTCCGTAAAGACATTGCCTAGATGGTACTACCTTGCTTGCAAACTCTGTAATAAAAAAGTTCAACCATACCCACTAGATTCTCAAGTCGGAAAAGAACGATTATACAGTTGTGGTGTTTGCGACAAGGATGTTACAGATGTGGATTGCAAGTACGAGTCACTCTTTAGTTTGTTCTTTCAAAATGACACACTTATGAAATTGTGGAGAAGACCATTGAGTAGTGATTTTTTGTTTTTTTATAACATTAGGTTTAAGTTGGTCTTACATGTCTCATATGGAAGTTCGCCACATATTAGGCTACTTTTCTTTGACGGTTTGGCTCAACTTCTCATTGGAAAGAAGGCTGATGAATTGGTTGCAACGATAGCTGAGGTAAAAAATTTTAACATTCATATTCATTATAAATTTAATAAACGGTATTTAACCAATATATTCATATGCTTCAGGATGATCCTTCAATTATTCCCAATGCTATTTCTTCGTTTATTGGAAAAACTATGTTGTTTAAGGTTACGATCAC